ACAATAAAGGGGATGGGGTTAAGCCGGCGCGCCTGCCCACTTTCTTCCCTAATCCCAGAGCGGCGGCTTAAAGCCCAGCCCAGCCCTCCCTGCCGCCCCGAAAGGAGCAGGAGCCCAGGCTGGTCTCCGCCTCCCTCCCCGTTTAATTTTATCTGGAGAGGAAAATAGCAAAACCCCAAAGGAACCGGTATTTCCCTGAGGGAGGGCCAGTCTGGGTCGGGGCCAGCACAGACCAGAGGGGTGTGGGGCCGTCTGGCTATGGGCTTGGAGCATCAGAAAGATGAGTGGCACCCCCCCCCCCCTCCCAAGCTTGTTGGCCATTTTTCGGGGTTGCTGGGGCGTTGACTCGATCTAAGGAACTATCTGCTCTTTAGCCCCGGCCGGGCTGGCTGAGGGGAAGGAGCATTGGCCAGAGGTCTGAAGGGTCCTGGGTTTGATCGCCGCCCAAGAGGGTTGGGGGCTGCAGTGCAGGGAGAGCACCACACAGCCCACGGGCCTGTCCCTGGACCATCTTGAGGGCCTGCTGTGTTCTGGCTGCTGCCTCCCTGGAGCCAGGCGTGGAGAGGGGTCCATACGTACGAACCAACCAGCCAACCCATGTTGGCGAGAGTTGTGTCTGTCAAGCTGTAGGGGGAGGAATGTCACGTGTCCGTGAATCCGTAAGGGACGTGGGAGTTACCACCGAGAGGCGCGCGTGTGCCGCCGGCTGTTACCACCGAGAGGCGCGCGTGTGCCGCCGGCCGTGTCCGCCCCACTCCTCTGCCTCAGCGGGTGTGCTTTAGCCGTCACCGCATCCCCCCCTTTTCCCTTTTCCATCGGCAGCTCCGCGGGGGAGCCAGGAGAGGGCCCGTCCCAGGCCCCAGCTGGTGGCTTGTAGTCCTGGTGTCGTTTGTGCTCACAGTGGGTGTGTCTTTGGTGCTACTGTTGACAGTGTACGGTCAGCCTTGCAGGAAGCTAATCAGGAGCAGTTTAGCAAGTTGTTAACAGTTAACGGGCAGACGGGCAGCGCCTGAGGCCGGAGGTCCTGATCCCTGCAGATCAGGCTGAGCCGTGTCTAGTGACAGGCCTGTTGGCCTCCGAGTTCTGGGCCTCGGGGGTGTGAGCTCCAGTGTCACTGTATTTACCGGGAAAGCCCTCCGGGTTATGCCGGCCAGGCTCTGGCAGGACAGCCAGGCTCTGGCAGGACAGCCAGGCTCTGGCAGGCTCAGGACCTGAGAGGCGGCCCACAGGCATTCACCACCAGGAGGCCGGAGCGTGGATGCAGGGCCCGGCAGCCGGGCCTCAGGCGTGGGGGTTACCCCCGACCCAGGGGGGAGAGCACAGAGCGAGAGAGGGCTGCTGTGAGAGGGGAGATGGTCTGGCCACCTACAGTCACCCCATCCTCATCCCCAGCGCCAGACCCAGCAAGAACCAGAAGGCCAGGGGCCTGTTGGCCTGGTCCATGGCCCATCTCGGCCAGTCGGGCCCCGGGGCACAGAGCAGGAAGGAGACGGACGGACATCCCCGCACGGCGTCAGGGCCCCGGGCTGCCACAGCACGGGCTGCACACGGTGGCTCACAGCCGGGCAGGGAGCGTCCGGCCCGGCCCGGCCGTATGGGGCTGTGAAATCACTTGGCCCTGCGCTGCCGTTAGGGGTGATTAACTGTTGGACCAAGCTGCTTTTTAAGCGGATAATTTCGTATGGCCCTCAAAGGATGTTATAAATATCCAGGAAAAGGGTTCCCATCCCAGAGGCTGGCCTGAGACCCGTGCCCCTCCCTCTCCCCCGGAGGCTCCCGGAATGCTCCTGCCCCTCCCAGCTCTGCTTCCGGGCTGCGGCCCCTCGCTGCCGCCTCTGCGTCTGTCTGGTCTGTGTGGCTGACTCAGGGCCACTCCGAACGTCCAGGGAGATCTGGTCTCCAGACCCTTAACTCAGTCTCCTCTGCAAGGACCCTTTCCCCAAACAAGCCAGACTCCACGACCAGGGATGAGGATGTGGACACATCTTCGGGGGGGGGGGGGGCCTTCCAGGAACACAGACTCCATGTGACAGCAGCCCCCCAGCCGCACGTGTGACGCCTCAGGCCTCCCCCCCATTACGCCCCAAATGTGGAACATGCAGTATCCCTCCCAGGTGAGGTAAGGACTGTCAGTTCCTCTAGGCAGTGACATGTGACAGTGCACACGGAGTACTGCCGACCAGCCTTGCAGTCAGCTTTCACTGGGGCTCCGTTATGTGACACGGTGGATTGGCAGTGTAGCTGACTTCGCTCCACACCCTCCGAAAGCCCCCCCTTTCCGATGAAGGCACAGTCACCTGAGCGAGCACGGTGGCTGCGGCGCACACGCCCGCACGGAGGTGAGGCGGACCGCCTGCAGCAGACGCCTCCTGCGGGCGGAGCGCGCGGCCTCTGGCGCGCGGGTTCCCCCCAGGCCGCCCGCTCACTGACGGCTCAGTCACGCCCCGACTGCCGAGGACTGAGTTAGTGTCGGGGGCCCCCGGGGCCGCCGGCACGTTGTGTGGAGGGGTGAGCTCGGCCTCGGGGCAGGCGCGGGCTCAGGCTCAGGCTCAGGTCCGTCTGTCCGTCCGCTCAGGCTCAGGCAGGCCAGCGCCAGCCGAACTCCAGGCCCCGGAGCCTTCGGCAGCCCCCGCGTCTCACTTGTGCCCTGGCATGTGTCGTTGAGGGGAGCGTGCGTTTCTTTGCTTTTTGACCTTTATTTCCCGCCGTGTCCCTTCAGCCACATAAGTAAACAAATAAATGGCTCCTGCCCGCGCGTCATTGCCATGAGCATCCCAGACAGAAAGGGCGGGACGTTCGGCAGGACAGGTGCCATCAGGCAGACACAGCCGGCTTCCCTGCCGCCTCTGCCCGCCGGCGCTGCTAACACCGAACAGGCTTGTTTTTTAAATATATTTTCATTGCTTTTGTAGAGGAAGGGAGATGCGGGGGGAGGGGAGAGAGACATCAATGATGAGAGAACCATCGATGGGCTGCCTCTTGTAACCCTCCACTGGGGATCAAGCCTGCAGCCTGGGCATCAAACCATTTATTTTTCACTGAAAGATAACTTTTTCAGTAAACTTGTTCATGTTTATTAAATACAAGCAGAAAGAGGCTGCCGTGGACTCTGGGTGGACACCCATTCAGACAGCTTGTCTCAGGGGAGACAGGTGGGCAGAGATGGCTCCCCGTCCGTCCGTCTGTCTGTCCGTCGGATGCTGCAGCTCACTCTCCTTCCATCGAGAGCAGAAAGGGGAACTGCAGGGGAGCCGAGCACACCGCAGCAAGATTATTTCCTGAAAAGGTTTCTCTCTGGTTAAGAAAAAGGATCATGAGAACCATCAAGCCTGGCGACAGTTTTCAATTTCAGGCGTCTGCCGGCTCGGCTCCGTGGCTCCCGCAGTGCGGTCTCAGGTTCCCGTCAGCGGGCGCCGCGGGAGGCTGGCACCGGAGGCTGGCACCGGGAGGGAGTCGGCTGTGACGCCCCGGGAGCCACGGGCAGGAGTTGAGGGGGAGCGTTTTCTGCGTCGCGCTGAGCGTCCACAGTGCTGTGGGCCCGGGGACGGGGAGAGCTTTGTCAGCTGCCACCTCGGTCCGCGTCCACCCGGAGGAGCTGTGGTTGGGCTGGCAGCCGCTTAGAACTCACTGGTTTTTTAAATGTAAAAAGACCAGTGCCCAGAGGGTGTGAGGTTACGGCTGGCTCGGCGGCTTTGCAGACGCACTGCTTTCAGGCTGTTGCTTCCTCGTGCGCCCTCCTCTGGGGCTGCCCAGCGCGTGGAAGGGCCTGTGGCCCGACTCTGACCCTGAGAATTCGGCGGCTGAGCTGAGGCGCGCTGGCCCGCGGTGTGGTGTGCGTGTTCCAGCCGGGCAGGCGGCGCCAGGGGACGCCTCGTGCCCAGGCCATTAGGGGCAGGAGAGGGGCCCGTGACCGAGCGTGGCTGCCAGCCTGCAGTGTCCGGTCGCGTGGTATTTGCATGTTCGGTGTTAAAAGAAGTTGCCGAGCGGTTTCTGGAGCGGCTCATGGGGGTTTGTTTTCCGTTGTTCATTCTTCGAAACGCCCGGCAGTCGGGGGGAAGCCCCAGGACACCGCCCGGGCGGGCCAGAGGGACCCCCAGCCCTGGCAGCGGGCAGCCAGCACAGGGAGGTTTCGGCTGGAGACTCCTGGTGCTGAGCTGGAGGCGCCTCTCCCTTTGATCTGTGTTAAGCTGCGCCCCCTCTTTAGGGCTTGGAGCCAGTTCACCTGTGTGTCCTGCTCAGGCCTGGGCCACGGGCCTCGTCTTTGTTCTCTTACTCCACTAAGCTGCTGTGCTCTTCTACATGTTGCGTGCACACACGTCAGTGAGTGCTGGGAGCCTCCGGTGGGCTCAGGGGTGGGAGCGTCAGTGGTGGCAGTGCAGCCAGGGCCGTCCTGTGACTGTGGAGAGGAAGGAGGCAGGGAAAGTAGACGGGTGGAGGCGGGGGGGGGGGGGGGTGCAGGGAGGACTGGCAGAGTGGGGACTGCGCGCCCCTGAACCTCAGGCCCAGGGCGCGGGTGCAGGGGGTGAAGGGAAATGAGGTCCAGGTGGGTGGGCTTCTCCTCCTCCTCCCAGCCAGTCCTCACCTCTGGAGGCGGGAAAGGCAGACGGAAACCCCTGGGGGTCGCTGGCTGATGGTGACCAGCGGTGGGGAGGGGGAGGAGGGTGCAGCCAGTGGGGAGGGAACGAATGGAGCAGGCTCACGGGGCACCGACCACCTTCCCAGAGCCCCAGACATGTCAGTCATGACAGCCCCCTGGCCCCTCCGAGAGGGATTCTTTAACTGCCCCTGGAGCAGCAGACATTGCTCTGGGAAACGCGTTTCCTCCTGGGAGGGGCAAGGCGGTCCGCACAGCCGGAGCACGCGGGGAGGGAGGCTGCTGCCCTCAGAGCCGGAAGCAGCGTCGCTCCGGAAAGCCGAGGGGCCGGAGGGCGGGACCTCTGGGGCCGGGCCGGGCCGGGCACTGACACGCGTGGGCGCTCACCGTCCTGTGTTCCCTGCAGACACAGAACGTCCAGCTAAACAAAGAAATGACGCTCGCCAGCAACCGGAGCCTGGCCGAGGGGAACCTCCTGTACCAGCCCCAGCTGGACGTGCGGAAGGCGCGCCTGACCCAGAAGTACCAGGAGCTGCAGGGGCTGTTCGAGGCCTACCAGATCAAGAAGACCCAGCTAGGTAACGGGCCCCGGGCCCTTTCCCAGCCCGCGGCCGGCAGAGGCTCCTCTGGGGAGACCGGGGAGGAGCCGCCGAGCGCGGCCCTGGGTGCACGCGGGCCCTGAGTCGGTGCTGGAATGATGTCACCGGACGTGGCATTTTAATGTCACACTTTAATTTACAGCCATGGCGAGAGGTGGGAACAGAATCGTCCTGGGTGCTGTGGGTAGGTTCAGGGAGACTTCTAGGCGAGGTGGGAAAAGTCCCCCCACTGTCGCCCTAACTTCGGTAAAAATGGGCCGGAGCACACCTAGCCAGACGGAAAGGGAAGCGGCCGGGTGCCTGGAGCGTGAGGATGCGGACTGCGCAGCCTCGGGCTTGGCAGACATGCACAGCTCCAGGCGGGCATGGATGTGGCTCGGAGGCCGTGGCTTCGCTGATAGTGTGCGTGTCCGCTGTACGGTGATGGGCTCCACAGGGTGGCAGACAGGAAGTGTGAGGTCGAGAGAGAGGAGTGGGGAGCAGGTCACATGCTCAGTCTCAGTGCCAGTCCTGAGGGGCAAGGTGCACCTGTTGGCCTCACTTCCTGGAGAGTCCTCAGCAGGCGCCACTGCTGTCATCTGTCTGGCTACAAGGCTCGTGCTTTGAAGGTGGAGAGAGAGGGGGGTGGAGCGTGGTTGTAAGAGGCTGGGCCCTGTGATTTCCGAGGGCCAGCCCCCCTGCTCACCCTGCCTCTGGCTTCTTGCAGACAAACAGCCCAGCAATGCCTCCTTGGAGACCCTGTTAGCGCTTCTCCAGGCCGAAGGAGCCAAGATTGAGGAAGACACGGAGGTAAAACAGCCAGAGTCCCTGGCTCAGTTCCCTCGGGGACGGCGAGCACCACACCTGAGGCCAGGAGTGCAGCAGGGAGTGGGTCCTCAGGTGACGGTGCATGTTGTGCGAGGGTCTCACGGGCGCCAGGGTGCCGTCTACTCGAGCCAGTAGGTGCGAAGTGCCCGGGGACGCAGCCAGCCGAGCACTGCAGGCCGGAGCCTCACTGAGCCGTGAGCCGAGTCTGGGGACGGTTGTAGCTGCGAGGCTGGCGGTGGTGGCCCAGGTGGGACCCTGGTGGCCACGAGCTGGATTCAGTCCCTCTGAGCCCACGAGTGTCGGGATGCAGCAGGCGGCTCGGGCTGCTGTCAGGAGGGTGGGAACTGGGCGCGGTGCTGTCCTCGGCCTGCTGCTGTCCCGCTGGTGGTTGGGGGGTGGGCCTGTGGGGTCAGCCAGGGCCTGGCGTGCAGAGCTGTGGTGGGCAGGAGGAGGGCCCGGGCTGGGAGGAAGCTGGGTGGTGGAGGGAGAGTCCTCTCCTCGGTGACCAGGTGTCCCTGCTTTCAGGACATGGCAGAGAAGTTTCTCGAGGGAGAGCTGCCTCTGGACGCTTTCATCGATGTCTACCCGAGCCAGAGGAAACTGGCCCACGTGCGGAGAGTCAAGATCGAGAAGCTGCAGGAGATGGTGCTAAAGGGGCAGAGACTCCCGCGGGCCCCGGCCCCGCTGCCGTCCAGGGGGCCCGAGCCAGCGCCCGCCGCCCCGGACGCTAGCGGCCCCCCCTCGGCCATGCGTCGGCGCGTCCCGCCCCCGGTGCCCGCAGGACGCTTAGCCACGCCGTTTACCGCCGCCATGGGCTCAGCGCAGGCCCCGCTGTACCCGCCCCTGCCCCCTCGTGTGGGCCTCCCCCCGCAGTTTGTGTCGCCATACCCACCCCCTCTCCCCCAGAGGCCCCCACCCCGACTGCCTCACCAGCCAGGCTTCATCCTGCAGTGAGGTCCCTCGTCCGTCCGTCCTGGGTGAGACTCCCGCCAGCCTGCTGGCCGGGGCCCAGGGGCGTCTGCTGTGAGCACTGTAGGTGGGTGAGGAGCGTGGGCCCCGTGCGTGCTAGTGCCAGTTTGCATCCTCCGTTCGCGTGCGGTTTGTGTTGTGAGCTCACGGACCTGGGGAAGCTGCCCTCCCTTTAGAATGTGGTCCTCCCATCGCAGCTTTCGCAGCAAGCGTGGGTCCTGGTTTCTGCTTTATTTTCAAGACAGTTTGTCCCAGCCTGGGCCAGGCCACAAGGTGCTGAGTCTGGGGGTGACAGCCCCACACACCCCCAAAACCTGGGTCCCTCAAAGCCACCCACAGGGTTTGCACTTGGCCCACTGCCCAGTGGAGGTGGGCGGAGCTGGACTTTGCACATCGCTGTCCTCCCAGCTCCTCCCTCCCCTCCTTAGCCGGTCCCAGGGTTTCTACAAAGAAATACGCCAATATTTTTACTACGTGTGTAAATTTCCTGTTTTATATTGGGGAAGAAAACTTTTTGACACAAACCATTCAGGGAACTTTATAAAGTGTACATGTTTTGAGATGGAAGTACAGGTGACAGGTGACCCAAATCAGCTGCCCCCAGGCCATGGGGTGGCTGTGGCCCCAGCTGCCTTCAGGAAGGGTGTGTCACCCTGTGCTGTAAGAAGTTTGCCCCCTGAACCAGGGTCCTCTTAGCCAATACTCTCAGCCTCTGGGTGGGCGAGGGAGCTGGCTCTGGGAGGAGAGAGTGCCAAGCTAGGACCCTTCCTGCCCACTAGGTTCCCAGCTCCAGGTGCTGCATCTGAGGTGGGTGTCACCACCCGCCTGTGCAGACAGGCCAGGTGCTCAGGTGGGGACGCCTGGCTGCTGCCCAAGCTCTGACGGCCTGTCCCAGCGGTCACGGGGAGGCCACCACCTTTGTACTCTGTGTCCACACAGTTCTGCTCCTGGACTTGAACTCTACTGTATCATACTGTTTTCCAAGAACCAGAGCTGAACCGGACCATCTGCTGCCGTGCCAGGGCGCCTGCCATGCTCTGTGCCCCGAGAGCAGTGCCACCCACACCATGCCTCTGCCGCCGAGCAGGGCACAGCTGACACGACTCAGTGTGGATGTGGCAAAGGGGCAGCCAGGCGGCCACGCCTTCGCTCCAGGGCCATGTCTGAGCTGTGGTTGTGAGGCTGTGGGACCCTTTTTAATAAATAGAGAATTACTACGAACAGTCCTGTCATTTATTTGCCTGTGGGTGAAGCTGACTGCGGCTGCCGTTAAAAATGAAAGACATCGAGACGGCGGCCCTGAGGCAGAGCCCTTGTTTTGAATCAGGAATCCTTGCTGCTGTCAGCAAGGGCGGCAAGAAGCAGGGACCTCACTGTCTCAGTGGACACAGGTCCTGCCGCCTGCTGCCCAGCTGACGGAAACGAAGACATGCCTACTGTTTCATGTGACGGAAGTCAGTGGCTGACAATCTGCTCTGGGGACTGGTCCCCCCGCCCAGGCGGAGCCACGCCGTCCTGTCTGGACCAGCTTTCCGCAGCGGGCGGTGCACAGGAGCACCCCCAGCAGCCCCGAGCAGGTGCCGTTCTGTGGCTCCTGCGCTGGGGTTCTCCTGAGAAAGCAGTTTCCTTTCCTTAACAGAATGTGTATCTAGTGGTTTCTCTTTCCCAGTGGCTCTAGGAAGCTTACAGGCAGAATCCAGTCCGACCCACTGCAGGCGCTGGCCTGGGCACGGGTTCGGCTCCTCACCCAGCCTTGTCTGAGCCTCCCCTTGGCTCATGAGAAGGGGGTGGAGGGAGCAGGACAGAACCTGTCCCCAGGCTTCTCATTCGGGGTCTCCAGTTCAAGTGTATCGGGGTGCACTGGGTGAGAACAACCTGCTTTAGTTTCCTCGAGCTGTTTTCCCTTAGAGTAAGAACAGGCATTGGCCGTAAGAAAGAAGGAAATCTTACCTTTTGCAACAGCGTGGGTGGGCCTGGAGAGGACTGTGCAGAGTGACACAGCCAGTGAGGGAAAGACAACACCATGTAATGCGCTCACATATGGAAGCAAATGAGCAAAATGAACTAACAAAATAGAAACAGACTCATAGATACAGAGAACAGACTGGCGCTGTCAGAGGGGCAGGGAGTTTGGGGGCTGGGTGACAGGTGAAAGGATTAGGCAAAAACAAAAAAAACAGTCTCATAGACACAGACAACATGGCAGTTACAGGAGGAGACAGAGGAGGGTAAAGGGGGGTAAATGGTGATGGAAGGAAACTCAACTTTGGGTGGCGAACACACAGCACAGTATACAAAAGGTGAACATACAGTCACACTGAAACCTCACAACCTCATTAACCAACGTCACTCCGGGAAGGTCAGCGCAGACACAGTTCTGATAGGTAGGTAGGTAGGTGCTTGTCAAGATAGCTGGGCACGTTAACGCCCAGAGACCGCCTTCATGGACTCCAGTGCCTGCACGGTAAACAGAACAATCGTAAATGAACAGATAAGTAAGAGGGTTTCTAGACGGCAGTAGCAATTCTTCCATTGAAGGAACTTTTCCATTTATTTCATTTGAAAACATGATTGTCTCTGTTACTGCTCGTCTTGCTAACATCTACTGAGTGCCAGGCAGCCCCTAGGCGGTGACATGCATGGTCTCCCCACTCCTCAGCACTCCCACCCAGTGGGTGCTGTGTCTGCACCTCAGACAGGAAGAGGCTTCAGCTCAGACTTCCCGGCTCCCTCCCGGACACGAGCTGGAAAGGCACAACTGGGACTCAAGTGAGTCCATGGCTGTCCAGGGAGGGAGCCCCATGGACACCACAAATGTGCCCTCACCAGGGCACCCGCCCCTCCTTGCCAGACAAGCTCCGTGAGGTTGATGTCTTGTCTGCTGCTGTGTCTCCTGTACCTGGCATGCCGTTTGGCACAGCAAAGGTGCTCAGTACATTTTTTTTTGCCAAAGCAAAATAACCCCACAAAAGATCAGGCAGGGGCCCCTTCCTGTTTACAGAGACATTTTCAAAGCACTGACCCACCTGGACCTCAGTCACCCTGGGGACAGGAGTGGACACGTGTCCAAGGCCACACGGTAGGAGTTCTGCCAGCTGGGCAGGAGCCACCCACACTGACACCCTCCCCACCCCCGACCCGCACTGTCCTTTTGTTCCAGATGCTTGATCTGAGGCCAAGGCAGGCGGCCAGGAGCCTTCCCTCTCCCCAGGGCCCTCCTGGGAACCAGCTGTGGGCTGGGGGAGGGGAGTAAGAGCCATGGGGGCTGGGCCCTGCTTTGGAGGTGGCCTGGGGGCGGGGAGAAAAGCCCGAAACCACCACTCACCACACAGGCGCCCAGGCCTCCACTGGCAAACTTCCTGGAGAAACACCTCCGTGACACCTGGCGGCAGCAGCAGCTCCAGCCGGGGCTGCTGTGGCTCCGAGTGCCGTAGTCACCTGCAGGAACTAAGTGAGTCCCAGCCCAGCTCCTGGCCCCGGAGAAACAAACAGCCCGGCACAGCCCCTCAGGGGCAGCGACCACAGTCAAAGTGCATTTTATTGCCAGTCGGACCCCAATACAAGGAAACAACTCCACGCCCAGAACTGGTCCTTGTGCTCAACCCGACACAGTGGGTACTGGACGCAGGGGGTGGTCCTCGCAGGGCCCCACCCACTCCCCAAGGGGTCTCAGCAGTGCATTCTTTCCAGCCCCCCCCAGGGGCAGGGGGCGTGCTGGGCCTCCGCACGGCGGAGGGGCTGCCTCTGCTGCGGAGCACGAGGCTCCCTCGGTCGGGAGGACGGCGGGCAGGGCTCGGCTCTTTCCGGCTGAGCTGGGAACCTTGCGTCGCGGGAGGTGGAGGTGGGCATCGGGGAGAGCCGAGCTGGGCCTCCAGGGCAGGGGCAGCTGGATGGGAATGAAAAAGGAAGCGGGCGGCCACCAGATTTCAGCAGGAACAGACGCCAGGGGCGAGGGTACAGGCATGGGGTTCTCGGCCCTGCCTGGCCCGCAGCAGACCCGGCCACCTCTCCCCAGAACCGTCACTGCTGCCCTAGTGCGAGGTCCGAGGAGAAAGGGTGCTGCCCCGGTCCTGCTTTGTCCAGTCTCCACGGAGACCGCACACCAGGGATGACTCACGCAGTCCCGACAGCCAGCACCGTGTTCTGTTCGCCGCTCACCGCAGACCCCGAGCCCAAAAGGCAGGGGAGGCCCTGCCCTGCCCACCCCACCCCACCCACGGCCCTGCTCCCAGGGCGCCGAATACAAACTCACAAGGCGAAGCTCTAGCTGCGAACATACAAATGTCTGTATTTCCTGAACCGTGGCTCCGGCCTGCTGAGCCGGGTGCTCTTGGTCCCATGGCAGACACTCACGTCCAGAACTGCCCTGCCAGCCCCTTGGCCCAGAGCCACGGGCTCAGCAAGGGCGGGGCCTCGCGGACACTGATCCAGGCCATGGGCAGCCCGGGCACCTGGTGTGCGTGCCGCGCCCTCAATGCCTCCTTAGCCGAGTCACGGTAGCCACGCGAGGCCAGGCCGCCTGCCAGGCTCCCGCCGGACCCTCTAGGAGTTCATGAGTTGAGTGGGGCAGACGCCATCCTTTTTGTCCAGCTGCAGGGGTCAAAGTTGAGGTGCTCACTGGACATTGCAAGGGGCACATTACCGCCAGGCCCCCCGCACCCTTGTCTCCTCAGCCCCTACATCTTCCTCTTGAGTGAGCCGAGCCCATGTTGCTGGGTCAGCATTTTGCTCCTGCTGGTCAGCGTTTTCTGACCTTCCCAATCCCCCGTCCACAGACCGGAAGCAAGAGGCCGGCAGCACCCTCCAGGGCCCCCCATCCCAACTCTGACGCCTGGCGGCCCTACCTGATGGTCCTGCCTGGGGACCACACTGGGCTTCTGGGCCAGGGGCGGCTTCCTGGAGCTCCCGCTGTGCGGGGCAGGGCTGGGCTGGCCGGGCTCCTCCTCTCCGGGCGTCCCCACCCCCACGGCCAGCGCGTAGTGTTGCTTCCGAAGCTCCCCCAGCCGCACACGCTCCGCCTCCAGCGTCTTCTCCAGCTCCAGGACCCGAACCTGCCGGCGAGCACCACTCAGCAGACCCATGGCAGCTCAGCCCCGGGGAGGGACAGGCGTGGAGGCTGCCCAAGCCCCCAGGAAGTGGGGTGGCTGTGGGGTTGGCACAGCACCTACCTGGGTCTCCATCTCCTGCTTCTTCAGCTTGATGAGGGACATGCCGGAGAAGTCCATGGTGTCTGTGACCAGAGTCAGGGTAAGTGCCTGGGCCCCGGCCCCCACAACCCCACAACCCTGCCCCCAGGCCCCCAGCCATCACCTCTGTCTTCGATCTGCTCCTGGCCTGACTTGGTGGAGGCCACCACGTTGGCGGCCATCACGTTGACGGTGCGGGAGCACTCCTGCAGGCGGCTCAGGTGGCGGCTGTCCTTGTTGGCCTTCACCTGGGGGAGCGTGGGGGTGGGTCAGGATGGGACCCCCCACCCCGAGCTCTCCTGGCACGTGCGGTGCCTCCATCGCAGCCAGGAGGGGGGACCTGAGCAGAGGCCCGGCCGGGCAGAGCCTCACCTTGGAGGCTGCCACCAGCTGGGCCGTGCTGGCCGCGATCTCGTGGGAGCAGACGATGAGCTCTTCATACTTGCCCGTGTGAAGCACCACCTTGTCAGCCGACTCCCTGGGGGCAGAGCGGGCAGGGCCTGGGTCTCCAACACCTGGACACTGGGACCCCCCACATTCCCTCCTCAGGCCCTGGGCACCACACCCCTGCTGCCCCCCACCTGGGGCGACATACACCAGCTGCGTGGCTCCCCAGCCCACGGCCTTGGAGGCGGAGATGAGGCCTTCAGTCCACCTGGAGTTCTTGGCGTAAAATTCCTGCTGCGTGGCTGCCCCCTAGTGGCGACAAGAGGGAAGGGCAGACCAGTCAATGACATCGCGGGTGGCAAGGGATGCTCCCCAGGGCCCTTCTCTGAGCTGGGGGGGGTTTCAGCTGACTCTCAGGCAGGTGTGCACACGGGGGGGTGGGGGGGTGGGGGGGTGTCCTCATCACTGCACCCTTCAGATTCTCTGCCCAAAGGAGCCCTGTGGCCTGGGAGGGGAAGGGCGCTGGAGTGGTGGCCCTTCAGGAGTAGCTGTGTACCCCCCATCCCCACCCTCACCCCAAAAGCCCAGCTCACCCTGCCGCTCTCCACAATCTCCTTCTGCAGGCTGGTGGATGTGGTCACCAGGAGCCGGATGGCCTGCCAAGACCAAGACTTATGTCACACTTGGGGCAGCCCTCTCAGCTGCAGCCCGCCCCCGGGGCCCCGGCCACAGGGCCCGCCCCCGGGGCCCCGGCGGCTGCTCACCTTCATGAGGTCTGTGCAGGAGTTGAGGATCCTGTGGGTTGGAGGGGTGGGGAGAGGGAGGAGGAGAGCTGCTGTAGTGTGGCCAGGAAGCCACAGGGGGTTGGGGAGTGAGGGGGCCCGCAGGGCGGGGTGCGCTGCTCATCCCCGTGCTTTGGAAAGCGGGCAGTTAGGAGGGCAGACCGCTGGCGGGGGGCTGCCCTCCTAACTGGTGTGGCACCCTGCTTCGCCCCGGGCCTGGGGGGAAGTGGGCTCACCTCTCGTTCACCTCCAGCTTCACCCCCGAGCTGGCGTGGCGGGCCTGGTTCATCATGTCCTGCACCAAGGACAGAGCCGTGAGCCGGCTGGGAGGAGGCAGCAGGGGAGGAAGGGGCCGCTGGGGCAGCCGCAGCACCGGGAGGGCTGGGCTGGGCTCAGGGCGCCACCCCAGGGCTGCCTCCCGGTCCAGCCCTGCACAGGCCGCCTGTCCCTGGCAGAGGGGCGCAGCCTCTCAGCGCCCGCCGGGTCCGCAGGACGGCACCGGCCCTACCTCGATCCTCCGCACGGCCTCCTCGATGGCCGAGGACGTGGCTGCCATCTCCTTGTCCACCAGGGCCCCCAGCTCCTCCTGACGCACGTCCAGGCTCTTGGGCTTCAGCTCCTGGGGGAGGAGGGCACCCAGGGCTCAGGGGTGGATTCCACCCCAACCGCTCCACAGGGAGCCCGGGCAGGACTCGTGCTGTCCCCAAGCACCCCGTCAGCCCAACTGGAGAAAGTGCAGAAACGCTGGGGACCCACGTTCAACCCGACCCCCTGCCCCACCAGAGCCCAGCCCACCCGGCACCTGGCCCAGCTGGAGGATGCCCTGCAGGGGTCCCCGCACGCAGTCGGGCTGGGCCTGCTGCACAGCCTGCCGGTCCTGCAGCTGCCCCATGAGCTCCAGCGCCCGGGCCCCACACTCACGGCAGGCGTCCGTCAGGCCTGGGGGAGAGGGCTGTCAGGGGAGCCGTGCCCGAGGACCTGGGAGGAGTCTGACAGCAGGACCTGTCTGCAGGCTCCCGCCTCCCCGGGCCACCACGAGAACCACTTACGGTCGGCAGGGTCGGTGGGGGCCAGGTGAGAGGTGGCACTGCCGTTGATGATGGTGTCGGCAGCCAGGTGGGAGAACTGGGTCAGGGCCGCCACCAGGGCAGAAGCATCTGTGGGCAAGGAGAGGAACGAGACCCTGATGCTGCTGCCACGGAGCGAGTCCTGAGAGCAGGCGCCATGCCCTCTGCCCAGCAAGCTCCAGACAGGTGCCGCGGCCAGCCCCCGGATGAGGAGGGCTCAGAGGGGAGAAGTACGAGGCGAAGGTCATGCAGCTGGGAAACAGAGCGGGAACCTAACCCAGCTCTGTGACCCAGGCCTGCGGGGCAGGGCGCCCAGGTGGGCATGTTGGGGGCACCTGCTCAGCTTTCTGAAGAGGCACCCGATGGGGGAAACCTCCCGAAGGCAAGAGGCAGCCAGGGCTGGCGGAACCAGCACCCAGTGCCCAGGCCTCCCCCTGCCAGTCCTGCCCTGCACTCACCTGACCTGGAGGCCAGGTACTGGGTGTGGCCCGTCTCCAGGGCGCTCACGGCGTCCAGGGCCGCCTGGGCCCTGCTCACTAGGTAGTCTGCAAGCAAAGGGAGGAGGGGTGAGGGGCAGACCTCAGGGCAGGGACACCGCCCTGCCAGCTGGTCAGGAGGGAGGGTGGCCGAGTGCCCGGCCGGAGCCCTACCCGGGGAGCTGGTGCAGCGCAGGTGCAGGGGGTCGTCCAGCGTGCCCACGGCGTCCTGCAGGATGCGCTCGGCCTCGGCGGCGGAGCGCCGCAGCACCTCCAACTGCTCGTCCAGGAGCCTCTGCTGCAGCCCCTGCTCCCGGGACTCCTGGGGGAGGCGAGGAGGCAGCGTGGAGGCCCTGCCCAGGCGCAGCCTCACAGGACCAGCCCAGACCCCGCTGGGGGGAGTCAGAGGACAGGCCCAGCTCCACCCCCAGGATGGGGCCCCTCTAAGAGTGTGCTGGACAGCTCAGGAGTAGAAAGACAAACACCTGCCAAAAAGTAGGCAAAGGATCTGAACAGACATTTCTCCCAAGATATGAAAATGGAAGGAACACAATAAACGCTCCATGTCATTTGCCATCAGGAACACACACATCAAAACCACAATGAGAATGAGGCCTGTCCAGTGTGGCTCAATGGTTGAGCATCAACCCATGAACTAAGAGGTCACTGGTTCAATGCCAGGTCAGGGCACGTGCCCAGATTGTGGGCTCGATCCCCAATAGGAGCGTGCACGAAGGAGCCAATCAATCAATGTTTCTCTCTCCTTGATGTTTCTATCTCTCTAACCGTCCCTTCCTCTCTCTCTAAATCCCAATTAATAAAAAAACAAAAACAAAAAACATTTAAAAGCAATCACAAAAACAAACAAAAACCACAATGAAGTACCATTTGAACCCATTAGGATGGCTACCAAGACACATAACAAGTGCTGGTGAGGATGTGGGGAAACTGGAACCCTCGTGCACTCCCAGTGGGAATGGAAAATGGTGCAGCTGCTTTGGAAACACTGGTAGCTCCTCAAAAGTTAAAGTTACCATGTGACCCAGAGAATCCACTCGTAGTTACATAGGAAAGAGAAATAAAAACACGGCCACACAAAACCTTGAACACAAATGTTCACGGCAGCATCTTTCACAATAACCAGAAAGTGAAAACCACCCAAGTGTCCATCAGCTGACGACGGATAAGCAACATGCGGTCCCTCCGCACGGCAGCCTGCCCCTGGGCCATGCAGAGGAGGAGTGCTGAGACAGGTGACCCTGAAAACCCGCTGCGGGAAGCAGCCAGCCGGGCTGTGCGACTCCGTTTCCATGGAGTCCAGAACGGGCACATGGAGAGACAGAGCTGACTAGAGGTGCCAGGGGCTGGGAGGGGCTCTCCTTGGAGGTGAACATGTCCGGGAGGCACCGGATGAGAGCACAGCCCGGTGAGCACAGGGATTCACTGGCTCGTCCACGCTCGGGGTGGGGCTGTGGGTGTGACGGTCTCGAGCCGCTGTCACCCGGGGCGGGGGAGGCACCCTACCTTGTCTGCCAGCCGCCCCTGCAGCTCGGCCCTCTCCTGGGCGTGGTGCTGCTGCTCCTGGCCGAGCAGGGCCTCCTTCTCCTGCACCAGGCTCTGGGCGGCCTGCAGGGCGGCCTCCTGCTGCCGCACCGCACTGCTCAGCGCCTCCTTCTCTGCGCTCAGCACGTCCAGCCGCAAGCTCAGCTCCGACCCGCTCTGTGAACACCAGGCGGTGGGCAGGGCTGCCAGGGCCCGCCCCCCTCACACCCATCCCACCCAAGTTCACAGTCTTCACCGTGCCCAGAGACGCGAGCTTCTGGAAGGCCAGGGCCCATGACCTGTGTGTTCCCTGCGTGCTGGGTCACAGCACAGGCCAGGCTGGCCCAGCTCACGGGGAAGCGAACCCTGACGCCTGTCCCACCCGACCTGGGGGCCTCCCCGGCCAGCAGCTCACCTGCTCCGTGCGGCTCAGGTCCTGCTGCACGCGCACCAGCTCCCCGGACTTGGCCTCCAGCTCCCTCCTGAGCTTCTCTAGCTGGTCACTCTGCTCCTCCAGCTGGGGCGGGAACAGTGTGTCACGGGGGCAGTGTCACGGGGACAGGGTGTCACGGGGACGTGGTGCCGGGGGCTCCAGAGCCAGGGCCTGTGCACATGACGCACCTTCATCTCGGACTCCCGCTTCACCTGCTCCATCTGGAACGCCAGTTGCTCCTTCACTCGTGCCACCTCCTCCTGGTTCTGCTGCTTGGCCGTCAGCTGCTTGGCCGTGTCTGCATTCTGCGTGGACAGGGGATGGGCTCACGCTCTGCCACCGCTGGGCCTCCCGCCTCCCGCCAGTTGCCTGCACACAGGTCCCACCTTCCTGAGCAGCTCAGCGTGCGTGGCGATGAGCTTGCTGTGCTGCTCCTTCAGCTTGGTGTAGCGCGCCTCTGTGACACTGGCCTTCTCTGCGGGGAGAGGTGAGGCTGTGACCCCAGCTCGGCGGAGGCCGCCCACTGGGGACCGGACCCTCCCCTGGGCTCGGCCACCCGGCCCGGCCACGCACTCTCGGCCTCTTCGCGCAGGCCCTGGTTCCGCTGGCCCTCCAGCTGGGCTGCCCGCAGCTGGGCCAGCTCGTGGCGGAGCTGCTCGTTGTCCACCAGCGCCTTCTGCTTCTGCTTCCGCTGCTCCTCCAGCTCGGCCTCCAGCGTGTTCACCTGGCCCTTCAGCTGGGAGATGTACCGCTGGGCCTGCGGTGGGAGGAAGGAAGGGGACGTGGGCATGGACTGAGGCTGTCCGGGCCGCAGGCGGTGCTGGGTGCAGTCGCACAGCCTGAGGCCCCCTGGGCCCACGTCTCCTCACCTCCAGCTTGATCTTCTCCAGCTCGGCCCGCAGTGTCTCCACCTCTCTCTTCAAGGTCTCGATCTGGAGGTCCCTGGGGACAGAGGTGGGGCAGGCAGGGTTTTCTGAGGCCCGAGCGGTCCTGGTGTTCAAGTTCAGGCCGCCAGTTCATCACAGGATCTGTGGTCTCGTCAGCGGCCCCTGGGGATCTCGGTGTCTCCAGTTCACATCCCCCGCCTGTGGCCTCTCCTGACCACAGCTCCATGGAGGCCCCTGCCAGCCCGCCCCCGTGTCCCAGGCCTCACCTGTCGTCCTTCATGGAGCCATTGGGGGGTCCAAACGTCTGGTCAAAGAGGTCGGCCACCACCTGCCACAGCAAAGCACAGTGACCCCCACCCTCCAGGCCAGAAGGAGGGAGCGGAGGGAGGCCCAACCACCCCAAACCCCCTCAGGAAGAGGGGGCCACTCACTGCTGGCTCCCCGGCGGGGGGGCCCGTGCTGATCTCAATGAGGTTCTCGGGCTCCTCGTCCTCGGGGGCCTCCTCGGGGATCACCACCACCGGCTTGATGTGCTCAGCCAGCGCCGAGGCCCGCAGGAAGTTGGGGGGTCCCTGCAAGGACCACAGGTGAGAGCTGCTTAGTGTGCCCCTCCCCCGGGAGCCTTCCCTGGCCATCCCCAGAGCCCACATGGGCCTGCTAGGCACCCGGGTTCGTCCAAGGGCCCCGACCCCAGCGCGGAAAGCAGGGCAGGCACCTCGGGCAGCCGGGGGATCTGGATGAGGCGCTTGAAGTAGAGCATGTCGGACGCTCTGCGGAAGAAGTTCCTGAGGCTGTGGGGACACACCGGGGTCAGGGGGGGAGCCTGCCCCTGGCAGCCCAGGCCCGCAGACGCCCGCGCCCTGCCTGTGGTACCTGTGAAACTGCTCGTGGAAGCGGTCCCTGTGGCCTTGCAGCGTGTCTGCCGGGAGACCTGGGCGGAACAGGTTTGATGACCTTCACCTCTGCTCGCCACTCTGGCTGCGGAGACTTCACATTCCCCCTTCCCTTCCGCTGCCTGTTCCTCCCCCTTCCACTAGCCGCCATGGATTAGAGCGATCACTGCCACCCGGCCACGTCCCCACCACGGAGGGCAGAGAGGTGAGGGGACAGGGCGGTCCCACGGCCACGCAAACAGCTCCGGAGGCACAGTGACGTTTCTTTAGACTCGTTTGCCCTGGTCTGGGACTCGAATGGCTCCTATGCCCAGGCCAGCGCTGTCCAAGTGGGGAACCCCACGGAGACACTAGCAGTGACGGCCGCAGGGGCAGCGAGGGGCTGCTGAGGCCAGGCGTCCGAGAGACCGCGTACACGTCAACTGCACCGCTTTTCTCTCAGTGTTCGCTTTGGAAAATGGGGATTTTTCATAACAAATACATAATTTGTGTGCATGGGTAATGAACTAATCATTGCTACTTCTAACTTCTTATCTCTGACCCAGTACATGCCAGTGCATGTAAGTAAGCCCCCTGGGGCTCAGGCTGGACCTCAGGGTCCGTGGGACTCACAGGAGTGCAGCCTGAACATGAGCTTGACTGTGTAGTGGTAGAGGTGGCTGCAGTCCTGGATGACCTGGATGAGGGGGGCCAGGCGGCACTGGCCTGAGGACATCTGGGACACGGCAATGGCTGTGTTGAGCTGCCGAAAAACTGAGAGAGAGAGAGAGAGAGAGAGAGAGAGAGAGAGAGAGAGAGAGAGAGAGAGAGAGGGAGGGAGGGAGGGAGGAGCGTGAGCACGGGGAGCTGGGAGACGCGGGCAGAGCTGACTGGAGCCTAGTGACAGCGAGGTGTGGAGAGGCTCATGGGTTCCTCACAGAAGCCTGGGAGCTGCCGTCCTGGAGCCTGGCTTTCCCACTCCCGCCGGGCAGTGAGACTCCGTCCCTCAGACACAGTGGGAGCCCGTGCGCTGTGGCTGCTGCAGACGGAGGGCAGTGCTCCCCAAACCAGGTGACAAGGTCAGGCCGATGGGATCCACTCAGCCTGGCCAGGCCTTCCCGAGAGCCGCACGGTGCCCGGGGCAGCTGCAGCAGCCGTCAGGACCGGCGCTGTAAACCGTGACCCCAAACTTGTGCCCAGGGCCAGCCTCCCTGGACCCTGACAATCAGGCCTTTCACCAGACCGTCCAAGTAGGAGGGACGAGGACAAACATGGGGCTGCCCACCCCCAGCCTCTGCTCTGGGCAGAGACAAGTAGGCAGCCCGCCAGGGCCGAGAGCCGCCAGGGCGGCCACAGGGGACCCGGGCCGGGACAGCTCCAGACGGGCGGGCCCCAGCTCGGAGTCCTCCTGTCACCTCGCCTGGGCTGGGACCATTGGCGAGCCTCCATGCGACACGAGAATGCCCAGGAGGAGGGGACGAGAAGGCAGGAGCCAGTGCTGTCCCTCGCCTTTTTAAAACATAACTTTTAATGCCATGTCAAGTACATTTTCTTTGTAAAAACTGAGAATACCGTGAAGTTCTATTTTGGGGTTTTTTTGAGACACAGCCATTTCTCCCCTGAGGGGTCCCTCAGGACGCCCCGTCTCCGGCTGCTATGAACAAGCAGCAAGGAGCAGCCTCCAGGCGGGCACGGCCCCTGCACCCCCTCCAGGAGATGCTGCCAGGATGCCCTTCTCTGCTTCATTAAGACATCACTGACCCGGGGGCCCATCTCTGGGCGTTCTCCACCTTCCCTGTGGGGACCCTGCCCTGCCCACACTCAGCCCCACCCCGGCCAGGAGCAGCACAGGGTAAGGACCGCAGGACTCGGCCCCCACATGACATTTCTGCCAGGGTCCAGGCTGCAGCCATGGCCTGGACACCTGCCCTAGTTGGGTCCTGGGCAGCGCCACCCTCCTGGGCATGAGGTTCAACGCCAAGCTGCCCACAGGCCCACCCAGACCGGGATGCCAGGAGGCTGCCCAGACACACCTCTTCCCAACTCTGACTTTTCCTTAAAAAGGCATTTGCTTCTCCTCTCGGTGAGAAGCATGAGTCACCCACACGTCATTCTGAAGCTGCGGCCACAAGCACCTCTGCGGCCGGGAAGGGGACCCGGCTTCCTGTCCGGAGGCCGCCGGTCCCTGGCGGGGAAGCCAGCACGACGCAGGGGCCTTTTACAGCAGCAAACGGGCAGGGTGACCCAGACTAACTCTGAGGCCGGAGCCTAAGCTCGGACCCGGCAGATGCAGCTCCTGGTGGGCCGCCCTGCCCACCCTGGCCTGAACCGGAACGGGTTCAGGAGGTGGCAGGAACAGCAATCTCACACCGGCCCCTGGAACTATCCCCAAAATTAACAACAACAAATAAGCAAGAAAAATAGGTTGTGTTTTTTGTTTTTTTTATAACGAGTATGTCATTGATGTTAATAGGTAAAGAGCTTATCATTGCTACTCCTAATTAACTTCTCGACTTCTCATCTCTGATCCAGGACATGCCAGTCCACATAAGCCCCTGGGGCTCTGGCTGGACCTCAGGGGCCGCGCTTGGGACCGGGGCGGTGGGGCTCACAGGAGGGCAGCCTGAACGGGAGCTTGGCCGTGTAGTGGGAGAGGTGGCTGCAGTCCTGGATGGGCCCCTGGGGCAGTGCACGCAGGAATGGGAAGTCAGTCTAGTCTAGCTCACAGAGGCACCTCTGGTTCCTAAAGTCTCCAGGTTCCCACACCCGATCCCTCCGGCTCACCTGATTCGGACAGTTTCAGCTCGCAGTCCATGTAATCGAACATCTCCACGGTGAGCTGGAAGCTGTGGGGAGGCGGGAGGGCTGAGAGAGAGTGGTAGGGGGCACGCCCCTGGCAGACCCCTCCACAGTTCATCAACACGTCCTGCACAGCACAACGGCCCTTCAGCCAAAACACCCGATTCCACACACATCCCATCGCCTTTGGCCCCAGAGAGCCACTGACACGTGGGAACCTGGAGACTTTAGAGACAGAGAGAGGAAACGGTGCCAGGCCACGCCACCTCTGGAGAGACTCACATGTCGTTGATGTCAGTCCCAGCTGCCTTCTCCAACACCTCATCTGACACCTCGAGGCCTGCAGGAAACTGGGGGTGCTGCAGAGGGGACACCCCTACTCACCAGCAGGCCCAGAACCAGCTCTAACTTCTGAGGGAGGGGAAGAGGCTGGAGAAGCCCCGACCTGCGGAGCCGCCCTCGGCCCTGGGTGCTGGCTGAGGAGGGACTGCGAGGGGCCGGAGACCAGGGACAGAGACGGGCACCTCCAGCGAGGGCGAAGAGGCTGCCAGACCCAAGGGCCAGGCCAAGACCACCTCCAGTGTCCGCAGAAAGCGAACCCGCATCCCGTGTCCCCGCGGATCAGGCTGGGACAGAACAGGGCCCGCCCTCCGCTGGGCCCCAGGACACCAGGAAGGAAAGCCCAGGCCCCTCCGCCCACAACCCTCCCGAGGACACCACCTTAAGGTGGAAGGAGATCTTGGTCAGCAGGAGCTTGGTGTAAACATTGACCAGCTGTCCGTACCGATCGTGCAAATGGCCCTGCGGAGGGAGGGACTGGATCAGCGCCCACTGCCCAGGACGGTGCCCGAGAGTCCCACAGGCCCTGGCACGGCACGGGGCAGACCAGGACCTGAGGTGGGACGACACCAGGTGACGGCCAAGTGTCTCTCCTTCACCCACCAACCACTTATTCACTCAACAAACATTAGCCAGCCAGAGGCCACTGACTCTTCTCCTGGGTACCTCCGCAATGCCCTTGTCGAAAGCTCTCTCATTTTGTTTTTTTAATCATACTCCTTGTCCAGGCAGCAGGCCAGTTCTGGGTTGAGATACTTTATTAAAATGCTTGCGGCAGCCCGGGAGGCACACTCCAACAGGCCGTGTCCACATCCGCCCAGGTGCCTCCTAACACTGCCTCCCCGTGGCCACGCCGGCTGGACGTGGTCTGCCATGGCCCCCTGCTGCCGTGTCCCCGACGTCGGGAAACACAGCGGCCCGGCTCCTGCGGCCCCGGCTCCAGGCGCCCTGCCAGGCGGGGCCCTGGCATTGCTCCCAGGGGCCAGAGGCCAGAGGCTCCTCCCCCCCACCTCCCGTTCTGGAGGGCGCAGGCGGGGACCTAGATGACAGGCTCCCGGGCTCTCAGAATCTCCTGGGAGCTTCCGGAGTACACCGATTCCGCTCCGAGATTCTAAAGCAGCCAGTCTGGGGCCCAGGAGCCTGCCCCTCCCACAGGCTCTAACCACCACCACACCCGCCCAGAAACGGGCACTGCTGCGTTTCCCGACTCAGGGCCCCAAGGGCTGGAGGCGCCTCGTCATGCCTTTGGCACTTCCTGTACCGACCTTCTCAGCAAGGCTGCAACGCCCCCACTGTTCCCCCAGAAAGCATCACTCTAACTTCTACTGTGAGAACGTGAAGAAAGGCACGTCACAGGGCCCTGCTGCTCCGCCCCGAGGGCTGAGGACTCCAACGCCACGCAGGCCCCCAGCTGGACTCTGTGGAGGGTGAGGGACTGAGGCCACCAAGCTCGCCTCCACACCTACCCAGAGCTCCCCAATCTCCCGGATGTTGCTCCGGTACCGCTGGCAGTCATGCAGGACCTGCAGCACAGGGGGACGAGGGGGGAGGCTGGAGAATCCAGGACTGGCAGGAGGGGCCCAACACACTGACCCATGCTGGCGGCACGCTGAAGGCGAGGCTGGGAATGGGCAGGAGGGCAGCGGGACAGTCTCTCATTTCAAAGGGACACTGCCCTGCCTCCCCTGGGCACCAGCAGACAGGCCCAGCCTCCCGCTGCCCGAAGAAGCACAGTGGCTGCAACAGAAGACCCTCTGGGGACCAGTGGACAGCGGCTACTCACGTTGGGGTGCCCATCTCGAAGGACCTTGTGGAGGACATGGCAGAATTTCCAGCTGAGGATGGAGCTGCTGGGAAGCGGCAGGCCGATGGCATAGGACCAGAAGGTGAAGGCCCCCTTCTCGTGGTGAGTGCCCAGAATGATGCCTAGCAGAGTCAAGGCCAAGTGCAGCATGCAGAGACCAGCGTGGGGGAGGCCGGGGCACTTGGAGACACCCATCCCACAGCCACTGAGCCCCTCCCCACATCCCTCCCCCACCCACCACGGTTCACAAAGAGCTCAGCAAAGGTGAAGAAAAAGGGCAATGCCTTAGCTGGTTTGTCTCAGTGGCTAGAGCGTCGGCCTGCAGACTGAAAGGTCCTGGGTTCAAGTCTGATCAAGGGCATGTACCATAGTTGCAGGCTCCTTCCTGTCCCAAGCCCTGGTAAGGGCGCATGCAGTAGGCAACCGATCGATGGGTTTCTCTCACATCAATATTTCTCTCTGTCTTTCCCTCTTTTCCAGTCTCTCTAAAAATCAATGGAAAAATCTCAAGTGAGAATTTAAACTAAAAAAAAAAAAAAAAAAAAAAAAAAAAAAAATTTTTTTTAAATCCCATTTACCATTGCACCAAAAAAGTTAAGATACCTAGGAATAAACCTAACTAAAGAGGTAAAAGACCTGTACTTAGAAAACTATAAGACACTGAAAAAAGAGATAGAGGAAAATATAAATAGATGAAAGAACACATACCATGTTCTTGGATTGGCAGAATCAACATCATTAAAATGTCCATACTACCCAAAGCAATCTACAGATTCAATGCAATTCCCATTAAAATAACAACAGCATATTTCACAGAACTAGAACGAACTCTCCAAAAATTCATCTGAATAAAAACAGACCCCGAATGGCTGTAGCAATCCTGAGAAAGAACAAAGTAGGAGGAATCTCAATATCAGATGTCAAACTGTATTACAAAGCCACTGCTCTCAAAACTTTCTGGTACTGGCACAGAAACAGATATATAGACCAATGGAATAGAATAAAGAACCCATAAATAAACTAAACCACTATACTCAATATTTGACAAAGGATGCAAGAGCATACAATGGAGTCAAGACAATCTCTTCAATAAATAGTGCTGGGAAAATTGGACAGATACATGAAAAAAAAAAAAAAAAAGGAAGAAACTAGACTACCATCTTACACTATAAACAAAAATAAACTCAAAATGGATAAAGGACTTAAACATAAGACGGGAAACCATAAAAATACTAGAGGAATCCATAGGCAGAAAAATCTGACATATGCCGAAGCAATTTCTTCACTGATACAGCTCCTAGGGCAGTGGAAACTAAAGAGAAAATAAACAAATGGGACTACATCAAAATAAAAAGCTCTGCACAGGAAAAAAACAAACGATTAACAAAACAACAAGAAAGCCCACTACATGGGAGAACATATTTGCCAATGTTATCTCCGATAAGGGTTTAATCTTGAACATTTACAGGGAACTCATACAACTTAACAAAAGGAAGATAACCCAATCCAAAAATGGGCAACAGACCTAAATAGATACTTTTTGAAAGATATGAAAACACGCTCAAAGTCACCAATCATCGCAGAGATGCAAACCAGAATGACAAGGAGATACCATCTCACACCTGTCAGAATGGCTATCATCAACAAATCAACAAATGACAAGTGCTGGCGAGGATGAGGAGAAAAAGGAACCCTCACGCACTGCCGGTGGGAATGCAGACTGATGTAGCCACTGTGGAGAACAGTATGGAGTTTCCTCAAAAAACTAAAAATGGAACTCCCATTTGACCCAGTGATCCTACTTCTAGGAATATATCCAGAGAACTAGAAACACCAATCAGAAAGGATATATGCACCCCTATGTTCATAGCAGCACAATTTACAATAGCTAAGATTTGGAAATAGCCTAAGTGCGCATCAGCAGATGAGTAGATTAAAAAACTGTGGCACATCTACACAATGAAATACTATGCTGCTGTAAAAAAGAAGAAACTCCTACCATTTGCAACAGCATGGAAGGACCTGGACAGCATTATGATAAGTGAAGTAAGTCAGTCAGAGAAAGAAAAATATCACATGGTCTCACTCATTTGTGGAATGTAATGAACAACATAAACTGATGTACAAAAACAGATCCAGAGACAGAGATGCTCAAACCTCAGAGGGAAGGTAGGGGAGGGTGGGGGTAAGGGGAGAGATCAATCAAACAGCTTGTATGCATGCATATGAGCCTAACCAATGGACACAGACACCAGGGAGTGAGGGCATGAGCAAGGGGGGGTGGGAGGAGGCAATGGGGGATAAGGATACATACGTAATCAATAAAGAGAAAAAAAAAAGGAGAAAGGGCAAGGTCATGTCCCTCAAATTTAAAAGGCCCAGTGGTCCAAGACAATAGATGGTGCTCCTGAGATGGGGCTCAGAGTCTGACAGGAGCTGCTCAAGGCAGGAGGCTCTGCCAGGCCAGGACACAAGAAGACATGTGCCCATCTCTCACAATGCCCCAGCAGCCACCTGCAGTGCCACTAAATCACTCCCACCGTGCCCATGGCCAAAGGCCACACAGGGCAGGCCCACATCCTCCATGTCCTCCCGCCGCCCCTGGCGCCCAGAGGCAGGAAGGATACGCCGGGCATGCTTCTCCTTCACGGGGGCCTCCTGGGTATTGATGGCCTTACTGATGCTGATGGCCTAGGAGGGAAACAGGAGGCGGAGTTCAGAAACGGCAACACCCAGACAGACAGATGACCCTTCCCGCGGTGAAAGGCACGTGGAGACGGACAACCAGACATCTCCAAGCGAACCAAACCAAACTCTGAAGCCTTGACTTGCACAGCTCAAACCACGGCTGACACCTGAGGCCACCAAGCTTCCAGGGGTCTGGGCAGTGAAGAAGCGGCTGCTGGTGCAGACCACCTGTGCTTAGCTTTCCCGAGGCGAGGCCGTCAGGGTCCTGTCCCTCCTGGGAGAAGCGGCCTCGAACAGAGCGCTCACCACACGCCGTGGACAGGCACCTGCCAGCCCCATCTCGCCATGACAGGACCCCGAGGAAGGCTGCAAGCTGGCAAGGCCCATACCGTTACCGCGTGGAAAGCCAGGATAAACCCAGCTCCCTTACCTGCCAAGCAGGCCATCTCTCTCCTGGGTGGGGCAGGTACAGGAGGGGGTTCGCTGCTACCACTGGGCCCTGAGCAAGCAGCAATCTCATCCTTAACGAAGGTCCTCTCCCATCTCCACCCACTGGAGTCTGGCCTCCGCCCCCTGTGCCAATGCCTCCTCTTCCGAGAAGGCTTCCTAGAGGTGACTGCTCCCTTACCAAAGGCTCAGGCACCTACTGTGACCCCTGCCCCCCTCACCCAGGAACTACCACCAGCCCTACACCAGCCCTGGGTTTACTTGTGGATGCTGTATTTCTCCATGTGGTGGCAGGTCTTATAAGCCTCTGTCCCCCACCCAGCCCTGAGCTGGGGACACCAGTGTTTGCGGACTGAGAGGAGTGGCTGCAAGCCATGGGACAATGGGACAGGGGCCTAAGGAATGCAGACACCTCTCGGGCCGGCCGATCCTCTCGCCTCCCTCCCACCTCCCTCCATGTCTTCCTCTGCCCTGCCCCCCCGCCCCCCCCCCTCGGCAGCCAAGAAGCTGCTCACCCCCCTGCAGCCAGACCCGAGCATCCGCCTTGTCAACAGGAAGCAGGCGAGAGGGGACAGGGCAGAGGGGGCCCGAGAGACAGGGCCAGCGCCTTCTTTTCACGGCTGCAGCCCTGTGCTCCCGCTGCTGGCATCTGAACAATCGTCGCTGCCCAGCTCGCTCGTTTCTGGTGTTCTGTGACCGGCTTGGAGCCACTCAGAGATTCCTCTGTAAGGAAAGCAGCCCCTGGGAGCGCAGGTGGCCACTCAGATCAGACACAGCCAGGGCTGAGGGAGCTGGGCCGGGCAGAGCAGTTTCTGGAGCCGCCCAGCAAGGCAGGCCGCCCTCCTTTCACACACTGTGCCCATTGTGGCCCGGCTCACGGGGCGCGGGCAGTGCTGGGGAAAACCAGGATTCATGCTCCGGCGTCAAGGACGGGCTTGGGAAGCAGCCCCTGCCTCGGGGTACCAGGACCTGAGAAGAGCGCGGGCAGCTCTGACTTCTCTGTCAAAGCCTCAGCGAGCCACCCAGGAAGGCGCCCTTGGCCCCTGGTTCTATGTGCCAGACTCTGCCAGTACAGCCGCCCGAGCCCCGGCGCCTTCACCAAGCACCGCTGTGAGGAGAGCTCCCCGCCCGGGCAGAATAAGTCTAAGACGGGCAATGACTGACCCTGTGCCAAGTACGAGCAACATGCCTCCCAGCAACAACCCTAGAAAGTGGTCACGAGCCCATTTCCCTGGTGGGGAAACTGAGGCACTGGGGTAGGGATCTTCTCTGTACAACTAATAAGAGCAAAGGCAGGTTTGGCTGATTCCATGTTCTGCGTCTTTAATGATTCTGTCCAGGTGTGGGTGAGGAGCTGGGAATAGAGGGCCACTGAGGCAGTGCCAGGCAAGGGGTGGGGCCATGCCTCCCCCAGCAGCAAGCAGCTGCCAGCTCATAAGCCAGGCGTGTCCTGTCTCCGGGGTGTGTAACCCCATCCCCCAGCTGCCCTGACATTTGAGCTGGCTCTTCTCACAACTGCCACCTGGTCCAAAGGCTCCAGGCAGCGTGGAGCCGGAAGCCAGCGTGCAGAGCCGGCTGCCCAGGGGAGGCTAAGGACCAAGTGCTTTCCCCGCCCCACACACAGGGGGACCCAGGAGCCCTTCTCCCCCTGCAGGCCCCCCCTGTCCTCCAGGCAGCGGCCCGCCCTGAGGAGCAGGCTGGCTGGAGCTGGCGCTGGCGGGGGCCCAGCAGGGTGTGGGAGGGGGAGGGCTGCTCTTCCTGGAGCAGGAGGAGCGCATAGCTTAGCTGGGCCCAAGGTTACGGTCAGGCATCCCACCTCCCTCTTACTTTACTGAGCACCTTCTCATTGCTGGGCCCTGGACCCCAGAAAGAGCCCCTGCCCCCACCCCTTTTGGGTGTCTGCTCACCCTGTCACCTTCCTGATGCCACCCTACTTAAGTCTCCATGTACTCAGCTCCCACTAACAACGTTTCCTTTATCTGTCCGTTATCCGTCTCCTCACCCTAGGGTCAGCACCTCGAGGGGGTGGTTCTACCTGGCTGGTCGCTGCTGTACCCCAGCCCTGAATGTGCCTGGCACATGGAAGGTTTTCTAAAGCATGGCACCATCTGTGCGGCCTGCCCGCCCTCAGTCCCACCCAGCCCCTGGCTGCAGGACCAGGGCTCCTCCCAGCGGGAACACGGCCCCGTTGTGTGCAGGGGCAGATGTGCGGGTCGGGCCGCTCACAAGGAGGCTCAGTGCTCACAGAGGGAGTCTGTGCACACCTCACAGGCTCCGATGCTCCTCCCAGCAGCAGCCAAGCCCCGTCCCAGAAGGGGCATCTGGCCCGGGGACGCCCGGGCCTCCCCAGCCGGTCCTGCTGGGCTTTCCCCTGATGGGCACAGAGACGGGGCATGCAGCCGGTCCTCCTTCACGCTGGACTCTGTCTGGGTGACTATGACCCAGCTCTGCTTCGGGGCTGACGGTCTCAGTGGAGGCGGCCCTATCACTGGTTCTGTCTACACAGCGTAGCACCTTCAATGCCAGCCAAGGGGTGACTGAGGGAACACTGAAGGGGGAGGGGGAGCCCGGGACCACTGTGGGGTCCCCTCGCACCTGCGTGCCTGAAGAACCCTTCTTCCCTCGGCCCCCCAGCCCCTCAGCAGTGCTGACCAGCAGGGCAGTCCCTCCCGGTGGCTCGGGGATCCCTGCCGCAGAGAGAACTGTCTTCCAGGGAGACACAGGCTGAGTGGGAAGGGGGGAAGGGGGGGCCTCAGGTCGGGAGGGAAAACCCAGTGCTGGAGAGCAGGGACCTGGGTGGAGGGAGGACAGGTGGCCACCGTCTTGGGGATGTGTCAGCTTCTCTGAGCCGCAGGGGAGAAAGGTGGGGAAGGGGACAGGGAAGCAGGGCCACGGCAGTACTGGCAGGGTGGGGGCTTTGGGGAGGGAGCGAGCAGGAGGGTCTGCAAGGACACAGAGGGCGGGCAGGAAGGGAGGGCTAACAGTTTCCTGGGCATTCACCCCCATGCTCCTGTGCTGGAAAAATCCAACGAGCCCACACCCAGGAGCCTCTGCAGTCTGCACCTCACTCCGCCCAGTGCCCAGGAGTGAGGGAGGGGCCCGACCCTCCAGAGCCAGAGGTGGGGACGAGGTTGGGGTGGCCACAGGCCAGAGATGGGAGGCTCTAGCCTGCACCAGAGACACAGTCAGAATGGCCAGCTCCTCACAGCATGGAAAGGTGTCTCTCACGCCACAGGTCTCGATCACCTGACTTATCCAGCTCAGCCCTGTGCCAGGCGCACTGCCGGGCACTTCACAGCTGTGACCTCCCTCGATCTAAGCAACCTTGGCAGCAGGCGGGCAAGGCTTCAGGAAGTTAACCACTTGCCCAAGGTCACAATGATGAAATGTTGACCAAGTGCCTCTGCCCGCCTCTTGCTGTTGAAGCACTTTGCACATATTGACTGGCCCCACACATCCTCCCCCGTAGGCTGTGATGAGGAAGCTGCAGCACAGGCCACCTGCCCCTGACTGTCCTCTCAGCCCCCACACAGCCACCTGCCCTGTGACTGCTCTCAGCTCCCACACGACCCACCCAGCAGCCTCCTGGGCCACCTCTCTGGGGGGAGGGGCAGAGGAAGCAGCCTGCCTTCTCGGTCCCTCCACAGGAACCGGCTCCCCAGGACCTGGCCTGGGCTTCCCCTCGGCTCCCTCCAGCAGCGGCTGTCTTGTGGCCAGGGCGGGACATCCTGGGAGGGCTCTCAGAGGGCCCCACTGGGCCACGCCTGCCCTGCTTCCCAGAACAATCTCGTCTAACAAACCCTGTGGAGACAATCCCAGGACCAGGCTGGACAGAGCCACCATGGCATTCGTCTCTGGACAGGCCACACACCAGGCAGCATCTTAGCAGGCACCGACTCAGGAGACAGGAGACGGAGGCAGCTGCAGCCACAGCTGTGATTCCCCAAGAGGCTGGGCCCTGAGGTGGACTCGGGCGTGGACATGGTCAGCAAAGCCAGAGGCCACACAGGAGGCTTCGGTCAAGGGCTGCTCACGGCAACCCAGTCCCTGCCCCACCAGCTGTGGGGCTTCACGCGGGGCACAGGGGCTCCCAGGAATTTGGGAAGAGCCACACAGTCAGGGGGGCAGCGGGGAGGGGACAGTCACTGAGGACGGAGCGTGAGCATTTCCCGGCTCCTCAGCCCATCGCGCAGCAACACTGTCTGGGAACCCAGTGCTCAGCAAGGGGCTGAGCCGAGTGTCTGTCTCGGGGAGACATGACATCCTCTAGCCCAGTGGTCGGCAAACTCATCAGCCAACAGAGCCAAATGTCAACAGTACAACCATTGAAATTTCTTTTGAGAACCAAATTTTTTAAACTTAAACTTTTTCTAATGCCACTTCTTCAAAACAGACTTGCCCAGGCCGTGGTATTTTGTGGAAGAGCCACACTCAAGGGGCCAAAGAGCCACATGTGGCTCTCAAGCCACAGTTTGCCAACCACGGCTCTAGTCCATCGGCGATATTCACCATGGGGGAGACCCCTTCCCCAGCGGGCCGAGCCTGAGGACAAACCC